ATTTTTTCTACAGCAGCTTCTAATTGCGTCTCAATATGTGATAGCTTTGATCTCAGTGCTTTGTTCTCCATATGATACTGATCAATATGGTTTATTTTATCAGCAATAGATAATAATCTGGTATTATTGAGATTGCTCAATTTTAAATTTCTTTTTAAATTTACTTGTCAGAGAGAACAATGTAACTTTATTTAAAAAAATCATTAAGCTGCATATTTATCTCACTAAAACCTACCTATACCTTTGACATTCATTACAACACAGCACTTGAGTCCTTGCTTATCAACAGTTTACAGTTGGTATGCCTTATAGTTGGTTGGGTCCAAGGCTTCTTATCAAATATAGCAACAACAGAACCTGCATGAAATATTACAAAATACTGTATTCTATCCAAATTAAACTCACCATCTTTTGACTTAAAAGTACCATGGTATAAATTTTTTAAAAGGCAGAATTTTTCATTAGAATTGCCTTTGCAACACATTAGCCCATCAATATGAGACATTTCAAAAAGCATTAACACACTATCAAGTCTTGATGTGAATTTATTATATACTGTTATGAGAAAAGATAAAACGGCAAGTGACCAAGCGAAGTCTGGCCTAATTGGAAGAACAAAATCAGTTGCATCACAAACTTTGTGAATTGAGAAGGATAGGATACGAACATTACCTCCAACAAATATAGTACGAAAATTTGAATTCTTATTAAAATTTTTCACCAGAAAAGAGAGGTCATTTGCAGGTAGCAATGTCACTGGGAGACAAAAACAAGTGGTGTCCTTGGCCTTCTTTTTACATTTGGTCTAAAATCAAAACAGAGCTTTCTTGTACAGGTTAACAGCAGTTATAGGTAAAATAACTACCTATATAAATCCCAAATATAGCTATTCCACTACTTTTGCCTCCAATCTAAAGTTTAAAATTGACTTCTTATTCTCTATGCCACGGAACTCTGAGAAACAATCCCACAACGAAACCCACTGAAAAATTAAAAATATTGGCATTATGCCAAATATTGGCCTAAAATAATCGATCAAAGTGCCTATTCCATTAGAAGATGCTACTATTGACCAAACTATAGGTCAAATTTACTTCGAAATATTTTTTAGAGTATTTGAGGCATCCCACAAAAAAAACTCAGTCAATCCACCTGACAATCCATGAATACGAAATTATCAAACAAAAGGAGCGTGGAAAGCAATATGCAATGCATGGAGTAGGGAGTTTCCAATCCCGGTCCTTGTCCAGTATCTTTAGTTATGTTGAAATGTGAAATGGTCAATGATGCGAACATGTCTTAGCATATATTAAAGCAATGTCTCTGGATTCTACAAGCATTGCTTCCTAGGCAACAAAAATCCTCAATCACATTCATTTAGACTGCATAAAGATAGTTAGCCAAGGTTATGATGGAGCAAGTGTGATGAGTGGGAGATATGCTAGTGTACAAAGATTTTGCTTCAAAAGCTGTGAATATATACTGCTACGCTCATGTCTTGAACCTTGTTCTAGTAGACTCGTGTAGATCTGTTTCCTCTGCCTTACAGTTTTTGTCACTAGTGGAAGCCTTAGTTGTGTTCATGACATCTACGAAGGCAGATATTGTACTTGTTGACATCCAAAAAAAATTTACCCTAAGAGGCACCCATTGGGGCTTCAGAAACTTTCTGAAGCCAGATGAGCTTGTAGATAAACAGCAATAAATACCGTATATGACTGCATACTGTTAGCTTTTGTGCCTTTTCTGATCACTCTGAAGCAAAAGCAATTGAAGCAAAAGGTTTGCTATTTCAAGTCATGTCATTTCCCTTCAAAATCTCTCTTGTACTCTTTGACTTCAGTCTATAATGTACCAAACAGTTATCCGACAAGCTTCAGTCCTCTAAAATGGACTTATTTTGTGCCTCAGAGGTAGTATCAGCAACCAATTTCATTCTTGAACACTATGTGACAGATCAGTACCCGTATCAGACATATAAATATGCCTCTGATACAGCTAATTATGCATGATATCTCAACTGAGCTTGATCTAAGGAGCTCTAGGAAGCAAAGCAGACCCAAACACTTGCATGACTGTAATATCACTGACACTTTTGGATTTACAAAGCCTTTTCCATCATCAAGCCAGTTCAAAACAAAGCTGTATCTACCTGCAATGAATGATTTCTCACAGAAATGGATAGGCAATTAAGTGTTGAATTCAATTATCTTGAAGGAAGTAGGAACTTGTTTTTCGTTGTCTTCGTCTGTTTTTCTGTCATTTCTGAACGAAGAACCGTTTTCTGAACTGTATGGACTAGATGTCCCAACTTTAGAAGCAGATTTAACCTTAGTCTCATGGCAACACTGCAATGTGTCACCCAATCTCACAACAACCATTGATTTGGCTCTTTATCTCCACTCATGCCTTGTAGCATATAAAATTCTGTATGACACAGTATATATGGCCCTCTCTATATCAGATAACAGTGCCAAATGCAAGCATTCTTTTTCTGTATCAAGCAGACAAAAAACATACTTTAAACAACGATGGGAGAGGAACCGTTATAAGACTTGGTTGTGTTATCCATTGAAAGAGAAATGCCATCTTCTATGGACATAGACCAAATCATTCATGAGACTTCTTGTCGTTAATCATAATTACTATCCCCTATTTGTGTTGTTGCAGCTATAAATTTTACAGTCACTGATCAATAATAAATCATAGACTAATTATTAGTATAAACTGAATAATGACGTACATTTATGGGCATAACCAATAGTTCTATAGGTGACAGCCTACATGTAGGATTCAGGTGGATTTTGGAAGATAGCGGCCGTTTTCATACTTTTAAAACACTTCTAACTGTTTTATATTACATTGTACAGCCTTATTAATGGTTCACATGAGCTCTCCTTCACTAAACATTTCTCCTAGTAACTTTAAAGTGAACTGTATTGTAGCGGGAGCATTTCTGGGGAACTAGCGCAAATTCAAATTTCTAAAAAATTTTTTAGACTTTTTCTTCTTTCATCTATCGAAAGATAGTCTTTTAAAGTAGAGAAATGCTCAAGTTTGGCTATTGCATCACTCCACTGGGCATGGGTCAAGGACCACGAAGGTAGTTCCTATTAGAAGCAAGGACAGAGATCAAAATGGATGGAGAATACAGCTGCAGATACCGCGTGTGTTTGTGGTTTGATTCAATTTTAATTTATGCACATGTGGTCATGACGAATATAATTAACCTAACGACAGAATCATAACAATGTAAATTACTACAAGAATAAAAGGGAATAAAATTAAGAAATTAAAAATATTAAAAATATAAAAATATTAGATTAAATTGGGAAAAAGTAAGGAAACAAGGGGTTATTTGCAAACTGGTATGGTAAAAAATCCTACACCACTGCATGAAAAAAAGCCATCATAATATAGTGCTATCATATAGTTTGCTGTTGATAATTGCTGTTTTTGGGTAACAGTCTTCATGCAGTGGTGTAGGATTTCTTACCATACCAGTTTGCAAGTACCCACTTGTTTCCTTACTTTTTCCCAATTCAATCCCATTCTTATTGTTTCTTATTTCTGTATAATAGCTTCTATATTGTAAAATTAAATTTTTAATCTGAAGCCTCAAGCAGCGTAAACTGGCAGATATAAGCCTCAGTTTTAAAAATTATGTTTAACGAAAAATACTCAAGAACTTGGTTCATTCTTGTTTGTTACTTTGCTTAGTTTAGCCATAGATGGTACTTCCATAGGCACACCCAAACTCATTAATCTATATCTGCCCTGTTGGGGTTGCGCTAATGTAGTTTTCTACTATTGCTTTTTGAGTCTTTCACAATGTTTTATATTTTAGACAGATGAAATGAGACGTTAAAAAGTAGAATGTTATATCGCCATCAATAAAAAACCAAAAAAACATAAAATGTATGACATACTACAGCTTCTTATATTATTGATGTACATGAACGTCATTCGTTGCTAAATGGTTAAGTGGGCTTGCAAATTCTTCATTTATGTTTTTCCTGTGAAAGATGTTTATGATATGTAATCACGTTGATTAGAATACGTAAATCAAAAAATTTTAAAGCCGCCATGGCTAAGGTATACTATCATTTGCTACAAGGCACTGCTGAGTTCAAACCTGTCAATTCTACTTCTGTACATAACTCCAGTAGCTCTAAAGAATTGCAGAGCAATGAAAAGAATGATTAAGGTTTTAATTTCTTTCTTTAAAGGCTTTAACTGCTTGCTCTTACAAAGTGGGAAAAACTTGAAAACAGTGCAAGATTTCTATTAAAAACAGTGCAAAAATTCACAAAACTTGTGGTTTAGAAAAATTCTGTTCCACAGTGTTGCAGTGAATATCATCATAAATTGTGACCATAATTGACAAAAGGTACTTCATGGCGGATATTAAAATTCATCTTTAAAATGAAAAATATCAACCTGTGAGTGCTCTGTTAGTCAACAATTGTTTCTATAAGCTACATATTAACTTTTTGCATCCTCTGGAGTAATTTTATGATAAGTGGAGCTCAGGAAGTTGGATTTTTTAGGCTATAAAGACCAATTTTTCTATCCGCCATAAGGTACCTTTTGTCAATTATGGTCACAATTATGAAAATTATTCACAGGAAAAGTATGAATAAGTGTAGGATACATCCCTGTCTGGAGG